TGGGCAACTGTCACTTCGCTATTTCAGTGATTTCAGGCGACCGCTCGTTTGCCACCTTATTATATAAAAAAAGGTAATTCAGTTTTTTGTGTTTTTTTTTTTTTATAAAAAGTAACCAAACTGTTTTACACTTAATATTATAGTCATGTATCTAACATGTATTAGATCATTGTTTATTTTTTAAACTGTAACTGACCTTTACGGGTTATATAAGTTAAAATTAACTTAGAAACAATTAGGACAACTCATGGTCATCTTACTTAAATTTCCAACAACGTAACTCACACCTGTAACCCAGAGAAGCAAAGACTATAGACCATAGACACGGTCCTTTTTTTTCAGAGGGGAATGCTTTATGGATACTCCGCGCCCCGGGGGGGACGCGGTAGTTATGTGGGATTCTCCTCCATAGCGGTGGCATACCCACTAAACCCCTCTGTTCCTCCAACGCATCGGGACGGTCCTGACATAATTTCACATTCATACATCTACTAGTTATCGACTGCGACTCTGTCCGCGTAAAATTAAAATTACTAAGTAGCTTATGTGTTCTTCCAGAATACGTTCTTCACTTTTTTTGTTTCAGAGGGGAATGCTTTGCATACTCCGTGCCTCGAGGAAGGCACTATGTGGGATTCTCTTCCCGAATGGGAGCATACCCACTAAACCCCTCTATTCCCTGATAGCTATAATGTGAGACGCTACGGTATCGTGTTAACTTACCACCGCGACGGTACGTTCTACACCTATGCTAAATTTAATCAAGATCCGTTAATCTGTTTCGGATATACCTTAAAGCAAATATCCATCCATCTAAACATTCGCATTTATAATATGCATATAGGTTTCGTGTGCTCTTAGATATACATAGAGGTGTGCCAGAACTATGACAAATGGAAATTATAATAGAGGTGGAGCCCGCAATTACATATTTTTCTCACATGAGTCGGCTCTCCTGGTCCACACCACATAGAAGTCACGCCTCAAGTACGATGTCATTCCCCTGACTCTGACGAGTGGACGACTGATCTCATGGAAGAGGACGCTTAGGAAGGGGATATAACCTCTTTCTGTTTTATCCCGTCTATGGGCAACTGTCACTTAGCTATTTGGGCGAATTTAGTTGACCACTTGCTCGCTTACTTATTTATTTCCTTGTTCTCCTGTGCTTAATTATTTCAAAATATTTTTTAATCTGTGCTAATTTCTGACAGATGAGAATTTCTAAACGTATTCTATCAATGCCAAATTATTTGTTTATTTAGATTTCTATTTTGTATTATGTAAATTTAAAAATATAAAATTTTAGGAGACATGTAGACCATTTTGAATAAAAAACGTACATTTTTTTTAAATACATAAATGTAATGGGCAACGCACAAGTAAGTATTTATGGTTATTATAACAAATATAATTAAAATTAACTCTTAGTGTGATACTCAGAGTAATTTAATGTTCATCAAGAGTCAGTTAGTGAGAAAGATTGTGTTAGTACGATATGCACACAATGTTAAATTCATCATCATCATCAGCTCACTATACATCCCCACCGAGGGGCTCGGGGCCTACCCTAAGTTAAGGGTGATTAGGCCATAGTCAACCACGCTGACCAAGTGCAGTGACTTCACACATATATTTGACTTTCTCAGATATGTGCAGCATCACGATGTTTTCCTTCACCGTAACATCAAATAAATGTACATATGTAAATAGGAAATGGAAAAACACATTGGTACATGGCGGGATTCGAACCCAGGACCTGCAGATTGCAAGTCAAGTGCTAAATGTTAAATTACTATATAATAATTACAGAGTTGTAGAAAGTCTCTCAAAATGAAAACCTTTAAAATTATATTTAACATTTCTCTGTTCCAAACTTTGGAAATCAGTTAAAAAAAATGCAACCTATTAAATTTTTAAGTTTTATCTGTTTGAGAAAATTGTAGATTTCTTCAGATTTGGGTACAACGCCATCTAGCGACTCTATAATATAATAGGACAAAAGCCAAATGTTTTATTGATAAATCGTATAATGTTGTTCTTTTTTTATATTTTGAACGAAATTAAGCAACAATAATGTAACGAATATCAGTAAATCTTATTATTTAATGGCAACATTCAGTGAATTATTAATTTCACAAATCATGTTATAGCCAGGAAGAGTTGGGCCATTTACAGGTGGTCCATTTGGCGGACACCCATCGGGACATCCACAAGATGTATACCGACCACCGGGTAAACTGCAAGTTTAATTTTATAAAACGTTCAAAATGACAGATTGCACCGCCATAGACAATTTCATAGATATAGAGTAATGTATCGGTTCAACTAGTGATGTGGCTTACGATAAAATAACCGGTATAATAAGAGAAATTAGTTTTATGTCACAATGTAAATTCGGGATAAACTACAAAAGTACTAAACAGATAATGATAAAATTTTTATTATGTGTAGTTAATTCCAAGTTTAAAAATAGCATAGTTTTATTTCCTTATTGACATACATTTGTCGCCAGATTAATTGTCTAAACGACATATGTATTCATGGACTTTACTTAATATTTTCTTCACTGCTGACGTGGATCTTGGTCTTCAACTAAACAATACCAACACCATATGCCGTGCAGCATCGCCTGCTGCACAACTGCTATGCCGTATTTCTAATTTCAAGTTTTTTTTTAGTATATTAAAATCATAATTCCAGGTCCGTACCCCCCACCGGACAGAGGTCAGATTGAGAGCTTTCCATATCAAAGTCCTCCTACACCTTTCGCGCAAGGCTATACGGTAAATTATTAATAATTAAGTTTAGAATTAAATAAACTGTGTATCGTGTAAAAGATATGCATAAGTAAGGAGTGAATTCAAATATGACCTCGGACATATATTGATCGAATGAGCCGACCGGTGAAATACCACGATAATACAGATAGCTGGCGGGAAAAAAAACGTAACAAGTAGACTATGATTTCTTCCAGAGTAAATTCTATATCCATGCAGAATTTCATCGTGATCCGTTAAGCCGTTTCAGATATACCTTCAGACAAAAATCCATCCATCCATCTATCTAAACATTCGCATTTCTTATATTAGTAAGATTTCTTAAAAATTTAGACATTTAACATAGTTTAAATCAACGTTTACGTTAATGTACTAAACCTCTCAGCTCTTTTGAGTTTAAAATTTAGATTGATTAAATGATAATACTGACAGGATAACCGACAAAATGCGGCCACACAGTACCCTCAGCAAGATGCCGTATCTCCACAAGCATACCAACAAGGATATCAACAAGGATACCAGCCATATCCACAACAGCCACCAGGATATCCACCGCCGGGATATCCACAAGCATACCCACAGCAAGGATATCCACCACAAGGATATCCTTACCAACAATATCCACCACGTAAGTCAATAAAATACAACTAGACAAACCAAAAAAAAATTCCTAAAAGAACTTTTATTTAAATAATTTATATTGAATTTAAACGAGAGTAATAAAAGGAGGAGAATGAAGTATATGTCGCAACATATATTACTTAACTGGCTGTCGCCCGCGACTTCGTCCGTGCGGAATTAAAGACAAACTTTGTAGCGTATGTGTTCTTCCAGACTATGTTCTATATGTATGCCAAATTTCATCAAGATCCGTTTAACCGTTCTGGAGATACATTCAAACAAACATCCATACAAACATTCACATTTATAATATTAGTATGATAACATATTTATCCTGAAAATAGGCGAATGTACGCTAGAAAGAAATGCATTTGACAACTCTAGTAGTCTAGTGTCAGTTCTTTATAGCATAAATAAAGCAAAATCTCTAGATGGCGTTGTCATAAATTTATTTAAAGAAATTCACTAAGAGGAAAAAATGGATTATTTGCATTGAATAGGCTCCGAAATAACTGAATCGATTTAAAAAAAATCATTATAAGGAAGCTACACTATCTCCAACTAGACGAAATCTACGCTAGTTCTAGAACATTCTTCCGTCTTCCAGCTCAACCACCAAGTATGGCGCAGACGACGTTCTGTGCTGCATGCATGGCTTGCCTTACATGTTTGATGTGCTCGTGCTGTCAAGGTCTAATGGGTGTTCCCGGTGACGACAGCATTGCTGAAAGTGCCGGCCCCACTGGAGGTCAACCCCAGGTGTCACCACCAGGCGCGGTTGGGGACGATGACTAGTGAATTAAAAAATATATTGAAAATATTTGTAGAAAGTTACTTTGCCTTGTCTTGTCAAAATTATAAAGTTTTCTGTATCTCAGTAAGAATGCAAGCGGTTATCTGAATTTTACGTTATAGTGAAGCAACCACTGATGCGTTGACAAATCGACGGAGGAGAGGACACACAGAAAGAAAATTACTCCTTTCTTTGCTTCGTCAAATCCACTTCCCATCCTTTCCTTATAAGAAAAGAGAGGGAAGGATTTTGTATAATTTTTTATAAAATATTGTACCTAATTTACAGCTACGAATGAAATTAGTCAAAACTAATTATTTCTTATTTATTAAATAATTATTGGAACTTGAGAATATGTAAAAATATCGCGACATATATGCGATATTTATGCTATATGTTGTCTTCTTCACTCTTATTTAAATAAACAGAAACAACGATATATTTTGTTTTACGTGAAGTGGATGAATTGTGTAAGCCTTTGATTGTGATATTATATTGTATTATTTTAATAAACACGAAAGAAAAAAAAACATTAAAACATTAGTCGTTTTATTTCTAAATAACTGACTCAGTCGGACCTTTTAACAAAGAAGTGTTAAGTGCTTACTTACTCATAAAGTTTGACAGGCGTGAAGTGTAAGCAATTCCGCGTTTCATCTGATGAGTGTGCGTCCCGGAGGCCTAATTTAGTCCTCTTTCCCTTCCCACTCTTTATCTTATAAGGAAAGAATGAGTGGAAGTGGACCTTCCGGATGAGAGGATGCATGGAAAGGGGAAATATTTTCTTTCTGTGCATCCTCTCCTCCGTCGATTAAAGGTAGGCAACGCTTATGCAATTGCGTATGTCTATGGGCAACGGTCACTTCGCTATTTCAGTGATTTCATGTGGCCGCCCGCTCGTTTGCCACCTTATGATATCAAATTCAAAATTCAAAGACCATTTTTAGGGTTCCGTACCTCATAGGAAAAAAAACGGAACCCTTATAGGATCACTTTGTTGTCCGTCCGTCTGTCAAGATCCTTTTCTCAAAAACGCGTGAAGGTATCAAGCTGGGATTTATTTACGTATAAAAAGTAGGAAGGAGATACGCGAGATATACAATTGATCAGAAATATGTTATTATAGCCTTTACCATTATCAACCTCTTTCTAATATTATATACTAGCTGTCGACCGCGATTCGGTCTGCGCAGAATAAAAAAAAATAATGAGTAACCTATTGGTTCTTCAAGACTATGTTCTACTTCTATGCCAAATTTCAGCGTGATCCATGCAGCCGTACTGGAGATATCTACAAACAAACATTCATTCATACGTACATATAAACATTGGCGTTTGTTATATTAGTAAAAATTTAAATAAGATTATTTCTATTAATCGCGTTAAAAAAACTACTGTAATCCGTAAATAATTTAAACGACAAAGGTTCGTTTTAAACCTTAACCTTCTTTGACATAAAGAAACTTCTTTACAAATCAACATTTATGAAGAATAGAAGAATTCAAAATTTGAAAATATCACCAGCATCTTTTGTTCAGCTCTGGCAGTAGTAATCCAACAATGACCGTAAATTAACAGTTCACATTTGTCCAAATTTACAAGTTTAAAATAATTCTAATCTATAGAAGCTAACCAAATTTTTAATCATGGCATTGGTTTTAAAAAAAGCCGTTTCACCAAAACATCTGACTCTCCTGCAAAGCATCAGTAAAAGGAACTATGCTCTGGTCAAAGACAAACACGTCCTATCAGCCTGTAAGTATTGTTTTATTTATTTAAATAGCAAGGTTTGTAACTAAATTCTAGCAAAAGGAGTTTTATTTTTGCAAATTTTAGCTATCTAATAATTTTTCGTAGGGAACAGAGGCAATCGGCCTGCGTTGTGATTAAAATTCAGTTTTATATATCTATATATTCGTATTTGTGTGTAAATTTGGTCAATTTTGCGTAAATGTGTAATTTTTGATATTTGGAAAAAAAAATTAATAATGAAAGCTATTGTTAGTTTCGAGGTACCATGACGCCTGTAGGGTTGTTTTAATCGGTATTGTAATAACCGGTTTTTTCATATCGGTTTTGCAATTTGCGAATTTTTTCGAATCGCGAATGTCAATTTGACATTAGTTTTTTTTTGTTTAACGGCGGCTGGTGTTGTTATTTTGGAGGTACGGTGGCCGCCTCTGAGGGACCTTCTGTCTATAATACTCTGAAACCAAAGCTGACTTTCAAAATTTGATTTTCTGGATAGCAATCACCAGCCGGCGATTTCCATTTACCGAGTATTATATACAAGAATGTCCCTTTCAGTGGCGGCCCCCACCGGTGATACGGCCCAAACTGTACCGTGCTGCAAACTGCGCCCCACTCGGCCGCTAGGCGGCCACGTCACGCACTGTACGATACGTCATTACGCCGAAAGGAAGGACGGTGAAAAGTACGAGGAGCCCCAAGCTGGCGCGAACCAGAACTGCCCTTTCTGTGGGGGCAATGCTAATTTGCTCTGGGCTACGGGAGCATGCCCACCCCGTTGCCCGTGTCCTTGCGGACCTTGCGGGCCTTGCGGGCCCTGTGGGCCTTGTGGACCTTGTGGCCCCTGCGGACCATGTGGACCATGCGGGCCTTGTGGACCTTGTGGACCCTGCGGCCCTTGCGGACCGTGTCGCGTACCATGCCCCTGCGGACCCTGTGGGCCTTGTGGACCCTGTGGCCCTTGTGGCCCGTGTGGACCTTGCGGGCCGTGCGGACCGTGCCCGCCATGTGGGCCCTGTGGACCGTGTGGACCGTGTGGACCGTGCGGCCCCTGCGGCCCTTGCGGCCCCTGCGGCCCCTGCTGCCCCTGCCCGTGCCCGTGCCCGTGTCCCTGCCCGAAAGGACCGGTAAAGAAATGCGAACGCGATGACTGTCCCTTCTGCGGAGCTCAGAGAGCGGTTGCGGCCGCAGGCACAGTGCAGGCCCCGCAGTCCGCTCCACAGGACTTGAGGGCGACGTGTGAAGTGGAGAAACCAGCACCACCCACGAGCAAACTAAGCAAAAGCGACAAACGAGCCCCAACCAGTAATATAAAGATTTCACCCTTGTCTCAATTGAAGTAAAGCTAATATGATCATGTTAGACAATAAATCAATTAATGTTTAATTTTCAATAAAAAATATACCACATACACGAGTTTAATTCCTTAAAAACTTTTGCAAATAGCGGACAATGTTTTCAGATCGTATAGTGTCCATAAACTTTACAGCTAATGGCGTGCGATGTCCCGATTTGCCGAATAACGCGGACACGTCCAACGGGGGCCCGTCGTCGGAGGACTGCAAACTGGCTTCTACGTCGGAAAATAGTAACGACAGCAAGCCGTGTTCTGTCATCACGAGACTGCAACGGAAGCTCACATCCAGCGGCTATCGCTGCTCGAGCAAGTCACACTTCAGGCACGCATTCTCGGCACACAAGCGGCGGCGGTCGAGTAAATCTTTATTGGCGCCGATAACACCTCGAGCTAACTATGTGAGATCCTTCGCCAGCGGCAAAGGCTGCCCCTGCCCGTGTCCCTGCCCATCGTGCTGCGGCAATCTGCCGCCGCCGTGCAACCAGCCGCCGCGCTGTATACAATGCATGACCGGTTACTATTACTACCCATACGGCTACTGGTTCTGCGGTCCGTATCATGTGACCGGACAATGTTGCCCAGTCGGCCCCGGCGGCATTTGTCCAAAACCCTGTCCACCCACTCCGGCCTGCGTCTGCCCTACTGCGGCAGCCGTAATGCCCTCATTTGACCAAAACCCGAAGCCTCCGTTCACTGAACAATCTACAGAAACATCGATCCCCAAGTCGCCCCTTCAATCTTCCAACACTAGCATATCTGAAGCTGGAGCTCGGAAAGCTGGAAGGTCTAGTTTTTCCAATTTCTTCCCCTTCCCTACGGACTCTAAAAAGGAACGTAAACCAAAGTCCGGACCCTCAAGAAAATCAGTCAACCCAACTTTGCAGTCGTCCTTCTTTTGCGTTCCATACAAGTTTAAAACATCAAATGACCCCATGGATGCTGGTACGGGATCTGATCGGGCGAAGAGTCACATTATAAAACAGAATCTACACGTAAGAGTAGATAACGCAAGGCACCACAGCCACGTGGCTTCGTACCGGCCCAAGCGCTGCAAATATATGGGCTATATCAACCCACTGACTTTACCAAGAAACACCAAGGATAGAGTTAAGAATTTAGATAAACTAATGGACTCGAAACTGTAAAAATGTCAACACTACATTCAAACATTTTTTCTGAAAATTCACGCTTCGTAATTTAAATACAAACTGCTTTGCTCTAATAGTCTAAGTTAATACACTACTCAAACATCAACATTGGTTTTATTTTATTACTCTTCAATCTGCCCCAATTCTTAATTTTTTGACTACGCGAATACATCTCGTTGGACGAATCGGAGTTATCAAAAACATTCGGAAATATTGATATTTGGTGTTTTTTTTGGAATGGAAGAGAAGAATGTATTGTAACGTATTGTATAGATAGGGTTGTAGTACAAAGTAATAGGAAACGGAATTTTAAAATAGAATGTTAATAAAACATATTTTTTATTTCATCGCTTAAAAATTATCACTAGAGGATAACCAATACAGTTGCATCGTCCTTTCAGCAAAAGTGATGAAGAGACGCATGAGCCGGCATGCATGGCAAATAGCTTTGAAACCACCGAGGCTGACGTCGAGCGAGCTGAAGTCGCTCGTCGCGTCATCGAAGATGAAGCCGGCGAGGAAATGTGACGTGCCATGTCGATCCCTTACCTGCAGCACCATTAGGGGTAACCCCACATACAAACTATACGTTTTGCCAAAAATTGGTATACCCAAGACATTTCACAATAGAAGCAAGATGGTATTGCGCACCCACTCAAGTCTGAGTCCTACATACCGACAGTTAAGTGCAATGGATAGAAAAGAAATACCCGCCCGCAATCAGATTTTCAAAGTCAAGGTAAATTCAGCCATAATAAAGGGCACCCGATCTGCATCTTGCTGCCCGTGCCCAACGTGTTGCCCGCCGCCCGGCTGCACCCTGCCACCTCCTTGCAACCAGCCCCCCAAATGCTTACAGTCTATGACCGGCTACTACCATTACCCCTACGGCTTCTGGTTCTGTGGACCTTATCATGTCAGTACGGGCCCCGTGCCGATCGACGGCCCCGTCAAGCCGGGCGGAGTGTGCGGCCCGGTAGCAGGGCCCTGCAACCCTTGCGCACCATTCAACCCTTGCGGTCCATGTGCCCCGTGCGGTCCTTGCGGTCCTTGCCCGCCCTGCGGCCCATGCGCTCCGTGTGCTCCATGCGTTCCTTGTGGTCCTTGCGGCGTGTGCGCACCATGTGGTCTATGCGCTCTTTGCCATGCTCAACCTGCCCCTGCAGCTGCACCTCAATGGAATACAAACTATACTCACGGTAGCTTCTGCTATCAATGTGGATATCCGAAGCCTCCTGCCGCCATCCCTAAACAAACCACGATAACTGAGAATGCCGTGCCTAAAAATTTGGAAGCAAAGTCGGTGGATACGCTGCCGTCTAAAGTAGCGGCGCAATCTCTATCCACAATCCTCGACCATGCGTCCACCAGAAGTACCATCGAGATCGACCCGACTTTTATTAAGACGTTTCCCTTCAATAAGCCTACATTCAAGAGAACAGAATCATTTAAACAGCCGACTACGAAGAAGCCGAAATAGATTTGACAACAATTAAAAAAGTTAGCTATAACCGTACCTCAAGGAATCTTTATACGAATATAAAATTCAATGGGTAAAATAAAAAATATTGGCTTATTGTAGGTCAAAAAAAATATGGAAACCATTGAATTTTAATAATTAATTTGAATCCGCGCAAATGTAATATCATAAATTAAATTTGTAAAATGTAAACATGCGGACCGTGTTCAGTGAAAATAGAAGTAATATATAAGTGAAATTTTGTTTCATTAATATCTTAAGGTAGTCTTAAACCCTATATCTTCCCATTTATAAGAACGTAGTTCCGATTTTCTTCACTTACGATATCATAGCTAACAGCTTTGTATGTGCGATGCATGGAAGATATATACCGCAAAAATGTGAGTTGTCTATGCAGTACCAACGTTAGAGTTTGCCTATAGGTGATCGCCCAGGATGCTGGACTGAAAGGGGCGCCACAGTCTTCGAATTACAGTCTAACTTTGTTAGGGGTTCTCAAAGGCAAGGTAAAAATCTCCCACCAAGAATAGAGTTAAAACCGTATCATCTCTTCAATCCTTATATCTTCGAGTGACAGTCGACAATCTTCAAAGATCAAAAAACAGAGTGGAACAGTAAGTATAAAGGAACTTGAAAAATCTAAATGGGTTTTGACTGCCGTGAAACTTGAATATATACCTGTCATTTTCTTTGAAACAGACATAAAAAATTGTTCTAAAACAAGTTTCTCGGCAGTTAAGTTACCGGTAAATACGGAATAAAAACTAAATCTGACCAAGTCAAAACATCAACATATATGATATAGATATAGAACGAAAAGGCTATCCAAACTGGTGGGCATTGGTCAAACTAAATTATAACAGCTCACTAGCGCCCCTTGTCAACGTCATAAAATGTCAACATACACTATACTGCAGCTATCAGAACATCAGTTTTTTTAATAATTTTCTTTAAGTAGGTCTTTTATTTATTCTGACAGAATCAATAGCGATAGCAGCGCCTCACAATTTCTTATTATCTGCAAATCAGTGAACCGGCTCGCAGCTCAGCTGAAATTATACCTGCATAGAGAAACGATTTGCGTTTCGAGCTATGAATTGCAAGTCACTAGGCATCTCTCGGCTCGACGCCTCACGTTGTTCATCATGATTATAGCTGTGAATTGTTGAACTGCACCTGAACGGTTCACGTTTATGTGAGCTGGACTCTTTTACCGGTTCAGCGCTGATTTACACATAACTAGTTTTGATACATTTGTTCAGGTATATTTTCAGATAACTAGAATAAAATTAAATTACATGATTAAAATAATCACAATAAATAATAAAATACATAAATAAAAATCAATTTAATTTATTAAAAAAAAATCTGATTGAGCACCGATTAATTTTGATTTGTCAATCCTTAGGGCAAGCCTATGGCGGCCATTTTGAGGCGAGGTATGTTTTTCCGCCATTGTGTTTTATAGTGTGCTTGTATGCCAAAAATAAATTGCTTCGGCATGAGGACATAAGTGTATTGTGAATTTAATTCCTATTTTACAAGATGGACGAAGATTATATGGAAACACAGGAAACGGTTACGGCCGACCTAAATAACCGATCAGAAGTAGTTGACAATCTTGAAGCGGCGAAAGAAATCGCCGAAGTTCTAGGATACGAAGAGAGTTATGAAGAAGATGACGGCACAAATAGCTTCCGAGGCGGTCGAGGAAGAGGCAGTCAATTCAGGTATGCACCGAAAATATAATTTTACTGTAATATATAGCCTGAGCAATATGAAGAAAAAATGTATAGGCAAATTACGCGGCATTTTGTTCCCACGACCATGAAACTGTAATCACAGTAAAAATACAAGTTAAATTCATCTTATTTGACTTATTAGTCATTTAAACTATAACAGATTTATGTAATTATACGATTATTTTACCAAATTCTCGAATTACTTTTGTACAGAATTGCAAAAAGATTTTATCATGGCATTAGCATTACTAAGAAGATTATGTATTCAATTTCTTCCTATTTTGCATTCTACAGCTATAAATAACCTGTTAAAATTGTGTCCTTGAACACTAAACTATATTACATAAATATAAGCCAAAATCTAAAGCAAATTTATAACTAATGAATTATCTACTTGCAAAAGACATTAAACATCTAATTAGTACTAATGTTTTATTTATGATATAGATTTTTTGCATTGTACAAACATAAAGACAAGTTATTTAAAGTTAATGTTAAGTTTCTTTATTTGCAAAACAATACAAATTAGAATTTTGATAATGGTACTTGACTTGGTATATCAAACAGAATATACTTGTACCTGAACTATAAACTAGATTCTAGTTACTAAGAAATTATTACCATCTCAAAGTCCGGTAACACATCTGCGGTTACTCTGGTATTGCTGATGTCCATGGACGTAGTTGCACACCTTAGTGTTCCCGCTGTTGGTTTGCCACCTTCTGTTATGAAAAAAATTACATCAAACAATTCTAGGTCTTTTTCTGACCTTTAGACATAGGAATACCTTATAACCTAACATTTTTCATTTTAGTTGTATTAGAGAGCTTATTTGTGCATTAGTCAAAATATACTATAAATAATATTATAATGATGAAAAATTTGGTTGTCTGCACTGATAAGACTATGAAGCTATTGAACAGATATGTAAAATTCTTTAACTGTTACAAGCTACACTATCCTCGGGTGACATACACTATAGTACTAGATTTTTGTTTAATTCCGTGCAGATGAAGTCACTGGCAACTGCTGTACTAAACATTTTCTATGAACTAAATTAAAATGGATATAATAATTAATAGTTATTTCGTCTGCACTGGTAAGTTGTGACCAAGAATTACTTCCATACACCGTGAAGAACGGAAATAGGAGACCAAGTTGAGTCTCATTGGTCACTCACACTGGATTAACTGTATGAAGTAGATGTTTTTACTAAGTTCATACATTTTCATTAATCTGAGATATTTTCAAAGGCTTTGCGAAATTTCTATTTGTTATAATATATGTTTTATCAAGTATTATAATTAGAGATATATTCATGACTCTAACATTGTGAAGTCTTTTTTTTTGGTATGATTATTGTGACATTAAAGGCATTGGCAATATTTAGAATAATTCTCAGTTTACAATATGCCGGGCGGTTTGCGTGAAACTTCCTGCCTCGCACAGCAGCGTTGTGGAATGGTCTGTCCTCTACGGTATTTCCAAACCGCTACGACTTAGGGTCCTTCAAGAAGCGAGCTTATAAACACCTCGGTGATCCCACTGCTTGTTTGCCTCCTTCTGTTATAAAAAAAATGCCTAATATGTATACACTAGCTGTTGCCTGTGACATCATCTACACGGTGTTAGGAATGTGTATTTAGTAACCTATGTGTTCTTACAGACTATGTTCTACATCTATGCCAAATTTCAGCAAGATCCTTACAGCCTTTCTAGAGAAACCTTCAAACATACTTCCAAACATTTGCATTTATAATATTAGTAATATTTACAACGCTTAAGAAAGTTGAATACTATTTTCTAAAGTTTGGTATTTAATTGTACTGCTGTGAACAAATTTTACATGTTGTTCCTCAAGCCTCCTGAGGCGTAGACATAATGTTGTTTTTTTTTTGTTTTCTTTTTTTTTGGTGTCTTGCTTCTTGTTTTGTATCAATGTGGTATAACCTGTTATTGGATAACTTTACAGTTTTATTTTGTTGTGTGTATTTATTTTATATAGAAATATATTTGATTTTACTATTTCTATCAGTCGAGGTCGCGGTCGAGGGCCTCCGCCTGGATGGATGAATGGTCCCCCACCTCCGATGAGGTTCCGTGGTCGTGGTTTCGGACCAGGAGGACCACCGATGCGCAGCAGAGGCTTCTTTAGAGGTCGAGGTGGACCACGCTTTGGACCGAACAATGGTCCCGGCTTTGACGGTAACTGGGGTCCGATGGGACCACCGCCCGGTATGATGGGTGGTCCTCCTCCATATGGACCACCGCCTGGTATGATGCCGCCCGGTGGACCAATGGGACCACCGCCTAATATGATGGGGCAGCCGCCACCGTTTGCCGGACCACCGGGAATGCCACCGCCTAATATGGTGAGTCCTTCGTGTTTGCTACAACATAATAAAATAACCCACGCTTGTAACCTAGAGGGGTAGACAGAGGGGATGATCTCCACCTTTGTTTTTACAATACTGAAAAATTGTTTAACCTGTACTAGCTGTCGCCTACGACTACTTGCGCGCGGAATTAAAAAAAAAACAATAGACTATGTGTTCTTCCAGATTATGTTCTACATTTATGCCAAATTTCAGCAACATTCAGGCATTTTTTTAAACGTTAGCAATTTTGAGTAAATTTACTAATATTTCTTTAACCATTCCAAGTAAGCTCTAAGCTTGTGCTATATGGTTTACGATAATAGTCGAATGGCGGGATCCGAACCACCGACCTCGTAATCGGAAATTTGTACCCTTAACCATTAGGCTATTGGCGCTTCTAAATTATGCATCCAAAGTATTTATAAGCTAGTTTTATACAAATGTTTTGTCAGTGTAAACTCACAATAAACATGTAATAACTAAGATAACATGTTGTGTATGTCAGTAATATTCCTTGCGTTTAAAAAAAGAAGCCTTCAAAGGTTATCTGTAACTGGATGGTATTTATAAACGTGAAAAACAACATTATGCTTCGACAATAGCTCGTAAATACTTTAGTAATTGGAGGACCACAGGCCCGTGTGGTATTAACAATACTTAAATAGTAATCTATGTGTTCGTCCAAAATATGTTCTACATCTATGCTAAATGTCAGCAAGATCCATCCAGTTATTCTGGTGCAACCTTCAAACAAACATGGATGGATGTATGTCTCCAAATTGCATTTATAATATTTGTATTGACTTGACCTATAAATGTATGTTGTATTGTAGCCCGCTCCGGAGTTATGGGTGGAGACGAAGTCTGATGAAGGCAAGCTTTATTACTACCACTCGAGGACACGTGAGACGACATGGACGAGGCCCATGGAGGGACCGACTTGTAAAGTCATCACGCAAGCGGAGATGGAAGCCATGAGTACTGCAGGTAATGAGGAGATGTCTGTATGTGAGGAGAATTTTTCAATTATGAAATATTGTGCAATTTGGATTGGTGACCATTTGTGTTACATTACTATGTAGTAATCAAATCAGTAATCGCGAGATCGTCGGTAACTCAGGGGTTCAAGCACTTGACTTGCAATCTGAAGGTCCTGGGTTCGAATCCCGCCATGTACTAATATGTTTTTTGATTTCCGATTTACATATGTACATTTATCCGATATTACGGTGAAGGAAAACATCTTGATGCTGCACATAGAAGAAATTAAAAGATATGTGTGAAGTCAACCCGCACTTGGCCAGCGTGGTTGACTATGGCCTAGTCACCCTTGATTTAGGGTAGACTCCGAGCCCCTCGGTGGAGACGTATAGTGAGCTGATGATGAATCAAAGTAAAAGTTTAGGAGCATTTTTTTTCTCATAGATATTTTGAAATGATTCTGATTTCGTGGTACCCCCCGCCTTATACAGTGGAACCTGGATAATCAAGAGTCGTTGTCAGGTCTCAACAGATCACCTCAGTAAGCGAGAAACTTGTATTATAGGGAAGCCTGTATAAATGAGTAAAATAACAAAGTCGCTTGGACTCTAGGGTAACCCTTAACTTAATTACGTATATTACATCATTGGGGGTCTATGATGAAAGATGTCTTATATATTTTGTCTCTGTCTTCTCTCTTTTATTAAAGAGAAAGAAAGAGATAGTATTTTTGTGCTGGTATTAACTTGTTTTTTTCTATAGTGCCGCAGATGCCACCCGGTATGAATGGACCTCAGAGTATGATGAGTGGGCCCATGAGTGGTCCGATGGGTGGACCACCAATGGGAGGTCCAATGAGTATGATGAACGGCATGATGCTGCCACCAGGAGTCTCCGCGGGACCTGCCCAGGGCTCCGTTCCACCATTTATGACGCAACCACCTCCGTGGATAAAGGATGGTTAGTTTTTTTATATACAGCATTTTTTTGTATATTTTTTCTTATTTATTATTTATTTGTATTCAAATCAAATTAATGTTGTTGCTAGGTAACAACAAAGATAAACAGGACAATCAAAATCAGATGGATGATGATGAGTCACCTCCGGGTGATATGTCGCAGATGACACAAGCCAATGGTAAGTGTAGAGGTTTTTATTTCAAGCGGATTGTACGCTTGAGTGACTTTTTATAATAGTTTTATAAATTAACTAGATGTCGGCCGCGACTCCGTCCGCTCGGAATTAAAAAGACATAATTAGTAGCCTATGTCTTCTTCAAGACTATATTCTACATGTATGTCAAATTTCATCAAGATATGTTTAGCTGTTCTGAAAATAGCTCCATGTAAACATTCGTAAGTAATATTAGTAAGATGTCAAAGTTTAGATGGATGGATGTTTGTTAGAAGGTATCTCCTGAACAGCAGCATTGCTCTCTCTGAAATTTGACAAATTTAGAACATAGTCTGGAAGAACACATAGACTTAGTACTCAGTAAAGTATGACAGAGTTGCGGATGATGACTAGTATTTAATATAATTTTGTAATATACAGGTGGTGGGTACGGTGGACCATGGGGCAACTGGGGCTGGCCGCCGCCCGGCGCTGCCTCTGGTATCACATCAGCTGCTGTACCTGACAAAGGTAACTTACTTCCAACTCAATACACTTAGGGGATTGGGGTTAATAACATGGTGTTTTTTTTATTACTAATCAATATTTTACCTTCTTTTTACCCCTCAGGAGATATGTGGTGGGGTTTAGATTACCTCTCTTTCTACTAAGTATGTGCATTTTGTAGAACAAAGTAATATTGATTTTTCGGAATATTATTCATTTTCTTATTTTATTTATTTAATATGAGTAAAGATACAAAAGTTCTGACTGAAAGTGTTCAATTTGACACTATTTAGTTAAAAAAACAAAATTTATATTTAGATTTAAGTTTTTTTTTTGCTAGTTTTTATCTTTACATTTGTTTTTTTATCTAAACGTTAAACTGTTCCAGGAGCAGCAACACAGATGGCGCCTACAACGGTGACTGGTGCAGGCAGCAAGCAGGAACCCATCAATGTAGACGCCCTGCCCTCACCCAAGAGAGAGGAAATTGTTAGTAATATACTAGCTAACACCCGCAACTTCGTACGCACGGAATTAAAGAAAACTTAATAGTCTATGTGTTCTTCTAGACTATGTTCTACATCTATGCCAAATTTTAACGAAATCGGAGATACTTTCTAACAAAGATTCATCCAAACAATTGTACATATTAACATACTAGCGGTCGCCCGCGACTCTGTCCGTGCGGAATTAAAAAAATATTTTGTATTCAGTGTTCTTCCAGACTATGTTCTATATATATGCCAAATTTCAGCGAGAACTGTGTAATCGTTCTAGAGATATCTTCCAACAGACATCCATCCATTCAAATATTTATAACATTAGTAAAAAGGTAGATTATGGTGTATTGTTTTTATATTTATTACAGTTAAATTCGGTTATAACGATATAAAAGAAAACAGCAATTATTAGTAGTAAAAATCACATTTTTTTGTAAACCGAAACGAACCCTCCGTTCAGCTGTTCAGTTTAACAGTGGTAGAGCGAACTTTAACATGTTCGCATGAATTGTTCCGACTCGTCCGGTGATATACCATGAGCACACAGAAGACACGCCTCAAGTGGAAGCTATACCAACTACACGATGATGAGTGTGCGTCCCGGAGCCCTAATTTAGTCCTCTTTACCTTCCCATCCTTTTTCTTATAAGGAAAGGATGGGAAGTGGACTTTCCGGATGAGAGGATTCATGGAAATGTTTTCTTTCTGTGCGTCCACTGTTAAATAGATTAAATAACTTTGTTTGACTATTTGTTTGTTTATGTCATGTTATCCAGGTGATACCACCGGAGCTGGTGGCAGCGGCCGCGGAGTGGACAACACATCGCGCGCCGGATGGCAAACCTTATTATTACAATGATAGTAAGAAAGAATCAGTCTGGGAGAAACCTAAACCTATGAAGGAATTAGAAGGTAAGGGAATATTTAAAATATGTAACTCTTTTCGTTTGATAGTTTGTCTTTACTGGTTTTGGATCATAGCTGGTTATTTATATGTTAAGAGCGTCGGTGACTCAGGAGTCAAGCACTTGACTTGCAATCTGCAGGTCCTGGGTTTGAATCCTCTCATGTACCAATGTGTTTTTCCATTTCCGATTTACATATGTACATTTATCCGATGTTACGATGAAGGAAAACATCGTGATGCTGCACATATCTGAGAAGTAATTTAAATATATGTGTGAAGTCACTGCACTGCACTGATATACAATCAATCCTCGGGGGCTAGACAAAATGCATTCGCCCCGAAATGATTCAATAAAATTCAAAAATGTATAGAACTGACATTAACTTTGGATAAGTGACGTGATTGTTGCGACACAAATAACCCCGCTGGATAGGCGAAAAACTTTTGTTAGGGAGAACCAGTGTCCAGTGCCGACGGACAAGTTATCGTATCGTATACATAAAGCTAAATATTTTATAATAATATTAATGTTATATTACAGAGCTGCAAGCAAAGATAGCAAAGGAAAAAGGTTTATCTGACAAAAAGATTGACACACTCGGATTAGACGACAAGATTGAAGGTTAGTTGTACTCTTATATTTTATAGGTTCAACTGATCTTGATGAAATTAGGCAGAGATGTAGAAAATAATCTGAAAGAACAAATATACTCTAAGAATCGCGGGCGTCAGCTAGTGCTAAATATCATCCAGATCAATGCAAACGTTTTCGATATACATTCTAATAAACATCCATCCATTTATCCAATTTTTTACAAGTTAAATATAAAATTCTCGTGTCACAATTTTCGTTCACATACTCCTCCGAAACGGCTTGACCGATTCTCATGTAATTTTGTGAGCATATTGAGTAGCTCTGAGAATTGGCCAACATCTATTTTTAATCCCGCGCGTACGGAGTCGCGGGCGACAGCTAGTTGTAATATAAGTATTATGTAATATTCCAGTGATAGACGTGGAAGCGCACGCGGAGGCAGCAGCAGCAGCTGCGGCTGCTGAGGAGTCGCGGCGCATCGCTGAGCTGGAGCTGGAGAGGGAGAGAGAGCAGGCGGAGAGGGAACGAGTGGAGCGCGAGAGGGTGGAGAAGGAGCGCGCCGAGAGAGAGAAGGCGGACAAGGAGAAAGCGGAGAAGGAAAAGGCGAAGCAGGATAGAAGTAGACCGATATCTAGTACTCCGATATCTGGAACACCCTGGTTAGTATTGTTAGAAAGAAAATCCGACACTGTGCCGGTGTATCGCAACACTAGTGTGTACTAAAATGTCGACGTTTATTTCCCCTCACTAATCAATCTAACATTTGAGTTGGTTACGAAAGCGCCAAAGGATTCTAACTAAAAATGTCTAAAAGTATAGACTAACGACGTTTTTTTTTTAACACTACTTTTGTAGTGTGTGCCACTGCCGATGTATCAGCACAACACTAGACCTACTAAAATATCGATACGTCCCCTCACTACATTTAAATTGATTTTAGAAAGCGCACCATTCGCTTCATAATATTGTCTAAAAGTACTCAATTCGACACCTATACTAAATATTATGAAATGAAAATATATCATCTAAACAAGCTGTCGCCCGCGATTCCGTCCGCGTGGAATTAAAAAAAAACTTAATAAGTAGCCTATGTGTTCTTCCAGACTGTGTTCTATATGTATGACAAATTTCATCAAGATCCGTTTAACCGTTCTGGAGATACAATCAAACAAACATCCATCTAAACATTCGCATTTATAATATTAGTAAGATTAATCTAAAATGTATATAACGATAGAACATTGCCCCTCCTATTAAAGTTACTTCTGATATTTCCAGGTGCGTGGTATGGACTGGAGATGGGCGCGTGTTCTTCTACAATCCAACGGCAAACTCTTCAGTATGGGAGCGACCGCCGCAGCTGGTCGGCCGAGCAGACGTTGATAAAGCTGTCAGCCAACCACCGGTAGACCTTCAGGTAGACTTAGATCCTGTAAGGGAACAGACCGTGTTCTATACGTATGCCAAATTTCATCGAGATCCATTCAGCTGTGCTGGTGATACCTTCAAACAAACATTTAGAGATCTTCAGTGGCTCAGGGGTTAAAGCACTTGACTTGTAATCTGCAAATCCTGGATTCGAATCCGGACATGTACCAATGTATTCTTCCATTTATATATGTACATTAATCAGATTTTACGGTGAAGGAAAACATCGTGATGCTGCACATATCTGAGAAGTTCAAAGATATGTATGAAGTCACGCACTGGATCAGCATTCACTATAACCTAGTCCCTTAGGGTAGACTCTGAGTCTCTCAGTAAGGACGTATAGTAAGCTTATGATGTTTCAACAGCGGAAAGCAGCTGGGGCTACTGCAGCTGGAGCTGGTGCTGCTGCAGCTGGTAATGGGGAGCTGAAGCGTGCAGCATCCGACAGCGAAGACTCGGATCATGAACCTGCTAAGAAAACTAAGACGGATACAGGTAATTACATTGGCATAAGTAATTTTAATTTTTTCTTGTCACCTGTAATCGCTGAAATGGCGAAGTGACCGTTGCCCATAGACATACGCAATTGTAGATGTGTTGCCTAACTTTAATCTACGGAGGAAAGGATGCACAGAAAGAAAATATTTTCCCTTTCCATGCGACCTCTCATCCGGAAAGTCCAGTTCCACTTCCCATCCTTTCCTTATAAGAAAAAAGGTGGGAAGGGAAAGAAGACTAAATTAGTCCTCCGGGACGCACACTCATCAGCGTGTAGTTGGTATAGCTTCCACTTGAGGCGTGTCTTCTGTGTGCTCGTGGTATATCACCGGACGAGTCGACACAATTCGTACCTCAGTTAGATAGAGATAGACAAATGAATATAAACATTTCAGGCAAGAAGTGTGCGGGTGTGATAGACGCGGGCAAGCAGGCGGCGGTGGAGGCGGAGATCCGCGCGGCTCGCGAGCGCGCCGTGGTGCCCTTCGAGCAGCGCGTCTGCCGCTTCCTGCAGATGCTGCACGAGAGCGAGGTCTCCGCGTTCAGCCCCTGGGAGAAGGAGCTGCACAAGATCGTCTTTGATAGCAGATATCTCCTACTCACTTCTAAGGAGAGGAAGCAGGTTAATATATACATATATTAATACTAGCTGTCGCCCGTGACTCTGGCCGCGCTACTTAATGTGCGGATGAAAATTCATAAAAATTGTGATATGAAAATTTTATATATCTTACTAATATTATAAATGCGAAAGTTTAGATGGATGTTTGTTTGAAGATATCTCCATAACGGCTACATGGATCTTGATGAAATTAGGCATAGATGTAGAACATAATCTGGGAGAAGACATAGACTATTTAGTTTTATGATTCCGTGCGGACAAAGTTGCAGGCGACAGCTAGTGTTTGCAATTTCAAAAATAATAATATTTGTAATGAGTAAAAATATTAAAAAGTGGAAGATAATATATTTTGTTGTAGGTGTTTGACAAATACGTTCGCGAGCGCGCGGAGGAGGAGCGCAAGGAGAAGAAGAACCGGCTTCAAGCAAAGAAGACAGCCTTCAGAGAACTCATGGATGAAGCCAAGCTGCATTCCAAGTTTGTACCAAACCATCTTCTATCTATGAGAACAAAAATAAACTTTAAAAACTGATTTATATACATAACTAGCCGTTTCCCCGTGAATTTTGTCCTTTTTCAAGATCTAGACTGTGTGCGTATCAAATTTAAAGCGGGTCAGACAGTTATTTTCGCATTTATATAACTAGTTGTAATCCGCGAATCCGTCTGCGTGGAATTAAAAATGAATGTTTGAAGGTATCTCCGGAACGACTCAACGGATCTCGCTGAAATGTGACATAGATGTAGAACATAGTCCGGAAGAACACAAAAGCTACTCTATAACTCCACGTGGAGTCGCGCGCGCTAGCTAGTATAATTATAAATGTATTTGTCTGTTTCTAGATCATCATTCACGGAGTTCTCCTCGAAGCACGGACGTGACGACCGCTTCAAGGGCATAGAGAAAGCTCGCGACAGAGAGAAGTTCTTCAACGAGTACATTCTAGAAGTACGCAAGAAGGAGAAAGAGGATAAGGAGAAGAAGAAGGAACAGGTGAGTTTAGAAGCTTGCGGATTACTGCTATAGCGAATATATTTATATTTACTATGTCATACAGTCGAGGCATTTAATTTCATACCCACACATTGTGAATGTATAGATTTAGTGGGAAACCGGTTATAACGATATTATAGAGACTGGAAGCATTTAGTTGTTATAACCGATGTTGTCTCTGGAATCTTCTTTTTTTTTAGTTGTTATTGTCGTAGTAAACGGTTTCTTGTATTTAAAGAACATATGGAAATTGTAATATATAGAAGATATAAAAATTTATTTCTAAAGTTTCATCAAAATCTAGTCTAGTGGTGTTAAAAAGCATAAGGGACGACAAATACTTTGTTTTTATTTATATAAATTTATTTCTATAAATTTATTTCTATAAGATTTACTATACTTACGATATTAAATAATTTTAAACTATTTAAATCTCAAATAATAAGTTACTAAATTAAAAAACGATTCAATTCTCATGACACCTCACGCATTCGCTAGTGTAAGCTACAGGAGGTTACATAATTATCATACATACAAACTCATACACACAAAGTTTTCTGCATATTGAGAAATTACAAAATAAAACGTAAAATTATAATTAAAATATTGCCTTTAATATGCTGTGCTATATAACATATAATAGACTAACTTTTGTACACGGGAAATTTAAAAAAACTTGGTAGGTTATTTTTTTTTATACCATAAGGTGGCAAACGAGCGAGCGGCCACCTGAAATCGATGATATAGCGAAGTGACCGTTGCCCACGATTCCACGTTCACGTCTTCCAGATGTTCTACATCTATGTCAAATTTTAAAGATCCATGTCGTTCTGGAGATATATTCTAACATACATCTAAACATTATCGTAATTTTTAATAGTACTCAATCATACATTTTTCTTAAGAAGAGTTGGTGTAGTGAATGATAAAATATAAACACCCTTTATGTATACAGATTTAAAAAATACAGACAATATTGCTTATATTTTAAAAACTAATTGCTGTGCTTATATCATTATTTAAATTAAAAAAAAAATCTTATTTCTATTCAATGCTTCTATACGATATAGACTTACGTCTATAGCCTGACCGGAAATATAGAAAACCTATATTACGAATATATATACAACTAATTTCTTTACTGTTAAAAAATTATAAAGGTATGTTAGGTTTTCTATTTTCTTGGTCAAGTTATATGTGTTTTTAGCAAATTTAATAAAGTCTATGTCAAAGATTTTATACGTTATTTGGCAAAAATCAACTTTTTTATACATTTTTGATAAGTAATTATTGGTTTAGTAACATTTTTTTGCCAGATTTCAAATTAATATATAAAAAAAAATTAAAGAAAAGAAAAACTGATATTAATTTTCAGGCGATTGAGTTTTATGATCGTGTAATAGGTTAAATATTATATACATATTATGTACTTATGTAGGGAATGTTTATATACATGTTTGTCGATGTGAACACGATCATGAGAACTGTCTCGCCACAAGCTGTGACGAGTGTCCCAATTTAGAGGCGGTAACGCTCCGAGTGGGAGCTTATTTGTGCTCCTGATGGCGGAGGAGGGCGCCGGGAGCACGCCACCGGACCTACGGGACGGGGTGGACACGATAGGTACACACACACGCACGCACACACACACACACACAATGCATACATACATACATAACAAAAATTAGACTAAAAAACTCCCAATTTGAAAGTAGTTTAAACATTTTTCAATTTTTTATTTTTGCATTAATTTTAAATTATACACTATTCAGTATTGTTTAGGACTATCTTTAACTAATTTTTCATTTTAGTTAGATTTTGTACGGATAAAAAAAAACTGGTTAAAAATGTAAACTCACCCGGAGATAGCTTTAGTGAAAGTAATTTTCAAATAGCCTATTTATTGCAAGCTAGCTGTAGCCCATGACTCCGCGTGTAATGAAAAAAGAAATTAGTTCCAGGCAATTATTCTAATTTTTCTCGCTATAAAAACCATGTTTGAACTTCAACGAACATTTGGAAAAAAAGGAATTGACCAAATTGGTACAGGCGTTGTTGAGTTATACGCTTACCGACATGGTTTAGGATTCATTTTTAATGTTATAGATCCTTTGCCTTTATAATATAAGACATTATTTTATGTTTCTGCACAATATTAAAATATGAATTTATTAACAATTCGACACATTACAAGAACATCATTCAGTTTTATATACTTAAATTTTCTAATGAAGTTTTTGTTATATTGAAATAACTATTTTTTTAATTTTTTTAATAATATATATAGTCTATGTCACTCACAGATAATGTAGTGTTTAAATAGTCAAAGAGTTTTTTAAATCGATTCAGTAGTTTTTGAGTTTATTCGTTACATACAAAAATTTTTTGTAGTTAGTTTGAGAGTAGACTTATAACTCATTTTGTAAATTTAATTCGTAGGGTCTAATCTTACCTGCGACTCACCCCGTCCCGCCAGAAATAAAATTAAGGTTAGATTTAGTTTTTAAGCCGATTTAAGTAAAAAAAAAAATCGTAAAAAATGTATGTTAATTACTACATACTTTTGGTATTATATAAATTTTAACCTCCTTGAAATAATATGCATGCCATCGTTTATATTAAAGATGGTAGAATCGAAAGGTGGTGGGAAAATAGCATTTGGCTCGAAGAAAAAAACTAATCATTTTTTTTTCAGGTTTTTTTTGTTTTGAAAATTTTTTTTTAAAGAGATTTTTTTCAAAATAAAAGTATAATTGTATGTAAGTAATGAAATCTTTGAAATGCAATGTTTGTAAAATTGTAAAAAAATCTCTTTGGAAATATTATGTACAAAATATAAAATCGATCGATTAATTTTTGATTGTCAGATTGATTACGTTTTTTTCTTAGATTTTTGAAAAAAATTTAATTGTAACTTTTGCAAGGCATTATTTTTTGTAATTCGTCCTTCTGACATGAATGTGACAGTTTTTCTGTCAAATCTTGTTAATATTTTTTTTTTGCAAAAAAAAAACGGCGAATGCTAAAGTAAATATATTTACGGGTAACACAGACTTAAAGTATTCATGTATTTTGACCCAAATGGAAAAGATAAAAATTAAAAAAAAACCTTTTTTTAAGCCTATTTCATAAATAGACAATTGGCTAGACATTATGTAATATAAGTTTGAATTCGAACCCAGAAAAAAAACGAGTAAAAAATTTATAAGGGTGACTATACATGAAGGCTATTTAATTTAAAAAAAATATTTAAGAGTTAATTTTTTTTTTTTTTTAAGTTTAAGGAGACTGTTCACCTGATGTTTTGTTGATATCGATATGATACAAGTTTTTTTTTAAAGTACATTTTTCGATATTTAATAAAAGTGAAAAATAAGTAAAAAAAAATTTACTTTTTGATATATTGATTTAAATGTTTGTTTTACCTGTAAATAAGTGGAATCGCCGATTAGAGTCGTAGTTCATAAGATGAAGTGAAAGTAAAGGTAGATAAAGAAATTAATTATGTTTAAACTTCGCTTTAGAGAATGCATTCTCTAGTAAATGTTTGAAAATCGTCTCATTGTTTTTGTCAAGAATACAGTTTTCGGTACTTTGATTTTTCACTGATTGACTGAATACATACATGTTTAAATTATTTTATTAACAAGAAAAACGTGAAAAATTTTCAGCCATTTTAAATATTTCGTTATTTATTCTCAGAATTATATTAATTATATTTTCTTCCTGTATTTAAATTATTAAATTACAAAGGGACACAATTATTTAACGGTAGATAGTGACCGCGACTCCGTTCGCGTGAACTTAAAAAAAACTTAAGAAGCAGTCTATGTGTTCTTCTAGACTATCTTCTACATCTATGTCAAATTTCAGCGAGATTCATACAGCAGTTTTGGAGATACCTTCTAACAAACATCCATCCATTCATATTAGTAGGATTTTTTACTTTTTTTTTCTTAATTGTACTTGAACAAAAATTCAGACATATCCACTAGTGTGGCATCACCTTTACTTTCGCTGAAACTAATCGATATTTCTTTCAGGGACTAATGCTAATTTTTGATTTCCACAGCTTTAATGACTTTTTTTAATGTTTTCAGCTAATAAATATATATAATTTTTTAATGCCACAGCGTATTTTATAGAGAACACTATTGGGTTAGATTGTGATTTTGGAAATAAAGAGCTCTGCGAATTACGATAAAAAAAAAACTTAAAAATAAATTGATTTACGCATAATTGTAGCATCGACTAGATTCAGGCTTCGAGGGTCTTTATAAATGGGACCCGAATTAGTAAGCAATCGCCAACTCTAAGGGCCCTCGAAGGACTCTAAACTAGTCGAAATTAATACCAGAATATGTGAATAAAGCCTTATAAAAGAAAGTTTGATATGTTCCAAACACAATCTATCCCTATAGATTACAAAATTCCGCGCCAATCACGATCTCCCACTGACTCTTGTTTCTCCTTCTAGGTGAAAAATGACTTCTTAGCTCTGCTGAAAGAGAAGAATGTAGGCAGACACACGCGCTGGGCGGAGATAAAGAAGAAGATTGACAGCGACCCAAGGTACAAGGCGGTGGAGAGCAGCACGATAAGAGAAGACTACTTCAGAGAGTACTGCAAGCTGGCGAAGGATGACAGGAAGAAGGATAAAGATGGAAAGGAGAAAGGTAAGTCGAATGTAGAATTTAGTTTCTTTTTTTTTAGGTCTTTTTTCAAACTAAAGGAAGCATTTTGTCACGATTAAAATATCAGTTAAAATACATATTTTAAAGTAAAATAATTTTTTAGGAAAATGTCTTATTTTGTCTAATTATTGTAAAAAAAAACTAGTAATTAATTAAATTAGCCTGTAATTTTTTTGTTATTTAAAAGGAGTGTGTTTTTTTATTTACAATAGGTTTCTGACAGCAAAATCTCCGTTTAAAATATGTTATATCTATTTTGTCAAAGATGATAGGGTGATGATTTATACAGAGATTTTGGTTTCGGAAACCCACGGTAACTGATGTTCAATCTTTAGAGCGTGACCGGTCAGCGAGCAAGAAGGAGAAGAAGGACAAGGATAGAGATAAGGAGAAAGACAAGGATAAGGATAAGGACAGTAAAAAAGATAAGAAGAAAGAAAAAGGAGAGGTAAGTCTTAATATGATGTGTTAATAGGGCACTTTATATACTTGTGATATAAGTACAGGAAATTAATTGGAAAATATATTGTCTGATACTAAATTTTGTTTGAAAAATGCTGGGGGGTGCAAAAAATATAAAAAAAAAAAATTTTACATGTATTTTGTCAAAATTTAATTTAATAATTATATTAAGGAGTTATTTCGTCAGTTATGGGTACGATTTTTTTTTTAAAATAAAGAGTATGTTTTTCCAAAATTAAAAACTGCAGACAAAATTTGTTTAAGGTTTATTCACGATCACAGTATATGAAAGGCCCAGCGAAATATGCATTTTTCTTCTGCTAACCAGCTGTTTCATTTTGGCATAAAAAAAACTTAAACTTTAGTTTATAAGTATGTTTTTCAGGATTTAATTTTTTCTTTTTTTTATATTTCGTCATAATCGATGTTGACTGTCATATTCTGCGGGGGTCGTTGCTGCCCCACGCGTTTTTTTACTTGCAACAAAAAAAAATCGAAAAAAAAAAAACATTTTTTGCAAAAAAAAAATCACACGTTATATAACATCGTTTGGAAATTGAAAAAAAAACAACCATATAGTGTGTGTTACAGTGATTTTGTATGTGGCAACGGACGGACGGAGTTACACGGTGAGGATATTATACGAGATATAATGAGATTATAGAGCGAACCTACATCGGACCCGCAGACTATGACAGGCCTTAGGGCGCTTGCAAACGGGTGGCTTACAAAGTCGCGTTTACAACATTGTTACTATTGTATAAAATTTAAAAATGGAACGAAAAAATAACGGTTGCGTTTTTTAATAGCCCAGTGTGCATGCCCCCTAATGGCTTAAATCTATTACGTTGTATAATTTGACCTCTTATTTTATTTAAATTATGTTTTTATAAAGCTGGCGTTCTTTTTTTTTTAAGATTTAATTTGAAAACGAAAAACTTTAGTTATTTACCACGATATTGTCCGATGCAGGTTCGCTTAATAAACTCAATATATAAATATATCTGAACTCCGTTTGTCCGTTCACAGAAACAATCGGATCAGTCAACGGAGGAGGAGAAAAAACAACCGACTCCACCTCCAGATCAGTGGGCTGAGATCCTCGGGATACCAGGAGAGGATGGCTCCAAAGATCCCAAAGCGAAAAAGGATAAAAGCGATGAATCATCTGAAAAATCCAGCGAATCCACGACACCGGAAAAGGAACAAATCCTATCACCAAAACAGCTCAGATCATCAAAAAAGGAGGTGCAAGAAAAGAAATCGCCCATAAAATCACCACCTAAAAAGAGAAAAGAGTTCATATCTCCCGAACCCGAGGAGACTGTGAAGAAGACGAAGAAGGCGGAGAAGACTACGAAAACGGAGAAGAAGAAACGGAAGAAGACGGAAAAGGATTAGTGTTTGCTTTACGTGTTTTTCAAACACTGATCTGTGAGGGGGCGCGCGCGCGCTCTGGACAATTAGGGAACACGATGTTACGTTAATTTTATAGAAATGCGGGTAGATCGATATTTGCAGCAAAATAGACATACGTTAAAGTTTTCGTCTTAAAAGAAATCCCATAATGTAACTTTCGACGTTCCGATTGTGATTTCATTATACATGGTGTTCCAAAAAATGTTTTTTGTACATAAGTGTTATAAAATAGTTATAAAAGAAAAGTTTAAACTACCCGCATAATCAAGTCAATATGAGACAGTTTTTTTGTATGATTTGTGACTTTTTTTTTATTAAATTTTGCTGATCGAGTGATAAATTTTGACTAATAAAATATTTATCAGATTATTTGTATGTAAATAAATTTTAAATATGGAGCACTGATCGCTAACCTTCGCTAGTCGGAGAGGCACCTCAAGAAGAAGAAGGAGAAGAAATTTTAAAAATCTTTTATTTCTGACCCATCTATTTTTATGATTTAAAAACTACACTAATCATGTATACATTATTGTAGAAAAACCAAATGTATTTTACGCAATACTAAAATGTAACACAATAAAATAATATTTGTATAGATAAATCTTTATCCATAATAAGCTATCCCTTCCCTATCCCCCCTTTACTAGGCGAAGTCCTAGATATACGCAAAAGTTACTCAAATAAAAAAAATAGAAATTGGCTTATACAAGGTGTTCCAAATTTTAATGTTTATATAATTTTCGGACATCCTGTATCTTGTCAAATTTTATCACTCGTCTGACCAAAATTGACTCACCGTGGGCTTTCACTGACTGCATAAAAACATTGTTCAGTGAAAACGCACGTTTATAATGATTGTAAATATATGAAAGAAATTGTAACATAATCTTAAGAGTTTATTAATATGAAAAAAAGAATGTATTGTTTTTTTTTAATGGATTGTTGAAATTGGATACTGGGTTGGATTGGATTACCGTTTGGATTGAAAGGATACATATATTTTTTTCTATTTGTAAATAGACGGCATTTGGGTTACTAGAATTTGACAACAGTGACACTCATTGCATATAGACCAACATTTTCTGACCCGGTGATGACAGGTTTTAACTTTGTGTCAAATTACTGTAGCACAAACGCATAAGTGACTGTCATAAAAATTGTCACAAGATTCTTGTAGAGCGTTTTATATGTCGACAAGTTTTATATATATGTGATTAACAGCGCCTCTCTTTTTTTATAGTATGAGGTGTAAATTCGCCAAAATGGCGAAGTGGCTACCCATATACAGCCGCATTTACAGATGTGTTACCTACCTTTGATCAATAGAAAAGGGGACGCACTGAAAGAGGATATTTCCTCTACCTATGCGTCCCCTCCCCCGTCAAATCCAGTTCCCCTTTCCTCTTATCACCTAAGATAAGGAAAGGGATGTTAATATATGATACAAGTGTCTGCGCAGTGGAATCCTACTGTTATAAGCTACTTGAAGTCATGGGTGCTTTTTAGTTCTAGCATAATTAAAATAACGTAAGATATTAAGGAAAATATTTAAGAATAATAGAACATCCTGTATCAATGTTTGCCCTTGTAAATACTTCGCTCAAATTTCATCAAAACCGTGAGTTTACTCTGCCGGAATATTACTAAAGTTAAGGATTCTATGACCTTAATAAAATACCCGAATTTTTATCAAAGTCGGGCTTTTTTATGTAAATACTAGCTGTCGCCCGCGACTACGTTCGCGCGGCATTAAAAATATATGTTGGCAGATTCTCAGAGCAACTCAATATGCTCACAAAATTACATGAGAATCGGTCAAACCGTTTCGGAGGAGTATGGGAACGAAAATTGTGACACGAGAATTTTATATATAAGAAGACGATTATTTTTGTGGAAATACAGCGTGCTCTCGCATGCCCCACAATAAAGTCTTACTTATACCTATTTTCTCGAGAATAAAGTGTTTTTATACATGTTTCCTGCAGTGTAAATTCATATGCAATCATTTTGACTCTCAATTCCATAGACAACAATATCTTATATTGAAATAGTAATTATATTGTAATATTAAGTTGCAAGTTATGTTTTATAGTCGATGATATACAGGGTGTTAAGATTTTATTTTTTTAATAATTCGACTAATGAATCTCCTTTATAAAGGTTGTTCAAAAAAATCCTCTTTTGAAAATAACATAAGCACATATCTTAGACAGTTTATAAACTGTCTGGACACGAATTCATCGCTATTTTGATAACACTATCCCAATGATACTTAGGGACAGCACTAGTCAGTCGTCACAAAGAAATTTACTTATATACCTACCCTAATTAGAGGAAAAAATTGCCCTTCTATAAGTCGGGCAATAATAATTTTAATTATATAATATAAAAACATTTTAACCCTTAATTCGACGAAATTTTTTGTAGCAAAAAGTTTTTATTTAGTAGTCATACTTGCGTAATTTTCCCTAAACTAGTTCAGTAGATTTTTTTTAATTAGTTGTTCGTCACACTGGACACTGTCGAATTAAGGGTTAATCTTGTTACCTCTATCTATCCGCCTATTTTTTTTTTATATCAAAAGGTGGCAAACGAGCGAGCGGTCATCTGAAATCGTTGAAATAGCGAAGTGACCGATGCCCATAGACATACGCAATTGCATATGCGATGCCTACCTTTAATCAACGGAGGGGAGGATGCATAGAAAGAAAATATCTTCCCTTTCCATGCATCCTCTCATCCGGAAAGTTCACTTCTACTTCCCATGCTTTCCTTATAAAGAAAAGGATGGGAAGGGAAAGAGGACTAAATTAGGCCTCCGGGACGCACACTCATCAGACTGTAGTTGGAATAGCTTCCACTTGAGGCATGTCTTCTGTGTGCTCCTGGTATATCACCGGACGAGCCGGAACGATCCGTGCGAACATGTTAAAGCTCGCTCTACCACTGTTAAATTCGTAGTAAATTTTTCGTTTTAAAATAAATCTTAACATCCTGTATCATTAGGTATAAGTTATTTAGCTTATTGACTTGAGTACATTGTATTGTGTATTTCATTTTTTTATATATATTTAAATGTAAATAAAAATGTATGTACTAGCCCTATATAGGGATACTTGTGAATAAATGTTCCTTTGAAATGTTCGTTTTATTTTGTTTATTTTATTTCCTTTTGGAATCTGATTCGTAATTTCTATGATTATAAGATTTTATACAAGATTTTCCGAGTTGTTTTAGCTTTGTTATAATTTTTTTTAATACAAATTCAAGCCCATCTATCCAATTAGTTACATGATAGAATTAACAAACACAATGTTTTTTTCACATTACTCCAGTACAGCGATTCAATCCAGCGCTGGATTGCACCTGTGAATATTTACCTTCCTCTATAAAGGAATAGAATAGCAAAAATAACCAAAGCAATAATCTGAGGGCTTTGAAAGTAAAATTGCATTTTCCAAGACAATTTCGCCATTTGACATCGTTTGACAATGCTCTACTGTGCAGGCTAGGGCGTGATGGAACAGCCCAGGGCGATGTATGGGCGTCAAAAATCTGTACGTTTACGTAAGGCTTGATTTATTATATATCAAAGTCAAAGTGCATCAAAGCTTCAATCCAAAATATAAGTTCAAGAGTCAACAACGTAACGCGCACAGAATACCAACGAACCAATTATCGTTCGTGTCATTTTATCATTGAAGCGTCGGTGGCTCAGGAGTCAAGCACTTGACTTGCAATCTGCAGGTCCTGGGTCCGAATCCCGCCATGTGCCAATGTGTTTTTCCATTTCCGATTTACATATGTACATTTATCCGACGTTATGATGAAGGAAAACATCGTGATGCTGCACATATCTGAGAAGAAATTCAAAGATATGTGTGAAGTCACTGCACTTGGCCAGCGTGGTTGACTATGGCCTAATCAGCCCTAACTTAGGGGTTAACT